GAGGGGGCTTAACGGGCAAATTTAACTTTTATGACAGGTTCTTAAAATCCAAGAGTGAAGTTCTTAGTCGCGGGGTTTTACTGTAGTAGTGTTCAAAAAACCTTTGGTTTAAGATCAGAAATTTGCTAGATTAAGAATAGGACATTCAGAGACTATTTTTTGCACGCCGTTTTTATTCTTGCTGCGGAAAGGGTTTCGGGTTATCGCGCAGTGTGTGGAGTATTAATTCCACAAACTATCTCCTCATGTGGTGGAAAGGTTTTAAGAAACCAGTGTACTGAAATGTTTGATATTCGTAGAGTAACGAGAAGCACGTGATCCCCATCTCACGCCCCCCATTACTTTGCTTTCCCGTGTCCACACTACATTTCGCCCTATGTAAGGCTTGGATTGTGGATTCCAGGCTGTGGTTTGCGGATCCCAGGAACTGGATTATTTACGGATTCCTTGTCATTGGAAGTTAGATTCCAAGTTCCTTGAGTTTAATTCCGGATTTTAAAGCCCAGGACTCCCGATTCCATAAGCAAAAATTTCCGGATTGCGGATTACCTTACATGGGGTTTAAATCATAACCTTTAGTCCGTTCGCCCCTGTTCTGACTTCGCCCCCTATTCTAGAACGAGGAATATTACATTTGAAGCGCGCTAAATGACTCGAAAATAGGGAGGGAGGAAGTTATCGTTTCAAAGGGAGTGTAGAGAAAGTCTTGAAATTTGCTCACGGTTAATGCTTTAAGCCATCTTAGTTTTCACAATAAATTACTGTATTTCTCTTTTCTTTTTTTAGACATAAGCAAGTTATCAGTTATCAAAGAACGCTTGCCGGATCACGTTTCCTATGGTCATATTAAACTGGTCATCGCCATTTTGGAACTGTCACTTGGGGTGGCGACTTTTAGCGGATCCGATTATCCTCTTAGCCAGAGTTCCTTTACGTCCAGCACCCGACCAGTGAAAGCCCCAGGGAAGCCCCCAGGGAAACCACACCCTACTCCTAAAGAAAACACCGCGAGAAAACTACCGGTCTGGCTGTCTGGAAAACCTGGAGGAAAAAGAAAGAATCCCTTTTAAAATGCGGGGGATATTTGATCCCTTTGAAGGTGTCTTGTTTGGAATATTCAAAATTTGAGTTTAAATGTTTGCGACATTGCTTAATGCATCGAATGAGGATAATATTTTCTTGTTCGAAAGATATCATTAAAATACAAATTAAGAGAGTACGTAAAGTTAGTGCCAAATCTCGTGGGATTCTTCAAACTTTCGAGCAATTCTACGTTTTCTTAGACGTACAAGAACCCATCAAGGGAATTCTAAGTTCTCTTTGTCGATCGTCAGCAGTCGTATATATAAACAGTATAAATATTTTTGTAAATAAAAACTTAGTTGAATGACCATTAGTTTGTCTGTGTTTTGGTTTAGGTTCTTAATTTTTTCTGGCGAGGAAAAGGTTGGAGGTTTGTTTAAAGCGGAAAGTGCACTTAGCTTACCCCCAGCTACTTAAGAATACAGGCACTCCACTTATATAATTAGAAACAAATAACCTAAATAGAAAATAACAGGATTAATAACCCCAACTGACAGGAGGCAACCAGGTGGCTATTTACAAGCGTGGCCGAGGATTTAAACTCTGGACAACCGAGAACAAATCCAGCAAGTAACCAGAGCAAGACTCGAACCCGGGACCGCGGGATTGTGAGTCCGAAGCGCTGACCTCTCGGCCATGTTGTTAACTTTCGATCTGTTTTTTTTTTTTTTTTTTTTTTTTAAAAAAAAAGAGAGGGATAATAGGGAGAGGGCATGACCTCAGCCTTCAGTTGAACTGAACTGAACTGAACTGTACACTGTTTTGCCCTGCCTCGTCTTCTTGTCGCTTTCTTTCTTTCCTCCCGCCTGAATCAATCTCTTCTTTTTTTTTTTCGAGTCCCACGATCCTACCCTATACCTGGCTCTTTCGGCGCTCTCCCCTTCCTACCACCCTTTCTCCTTCCGATTTAATTTATTGGCTTCGCAAAAAGATGTAACTATATATACACCTAATTGCAATAACATTGTAACAAAAAAATCATAAAAGTGAAAATTTTAAAAAAGGAAAATGCCAAAAAGGAATCAACTAGGCTTACTAGTAAACCACTACAGGGTACATTCATTTGCAGCAATAATCTTGAACACTGGCGTGTTTAGAATATGTACGCCACATACAAGAGTATTAATGGAATTACTCCATCATATCAGTTAAGATCTCTACAGAGAGAGCAAGCAACAGCGTACAACCTCAGGGGCGCCTAAAAGTTAGATTTACCCAATGTAAGAACAATACCACTCAAGTGTGGAAAACGTTGACTGATAGCATTTTAACTTTCGAGACACTCGTCGCATTCAAACGCGGTACTGCTGTGTAGCTTTTAGACTAGACTATAATTTGTATGCGTATACAAGTGGTTATTTTTACTAACTAATTTATTTATCTTTGTTTGTTGATTTATTCTCGAGGGTACTAGCTCTTACGAGCTACTCTAAATCCCAGTTAAAATAAAGTTAGCCGTCGAACAGCTAAAAAAGTATGTCCAAAGTAGCCAATAAGAGTGCAACCATTGCTTTCGACTCTTCTCCTTTCTTCCTCCTCGGTCTTTCTTTTTCTCCTTTCCTTTCCCGTCACTGGTGTGATTTTTGAGCCCGGGCAAAAAAACCCCTAACTTTTCGGCCTTGTTCACTCGAATGGCTGCAAACTTTCGTTAGGTTCGTTTATTGGGCTAGATCTGTATTGGGCTACCCAGTCCAACCGCGTCCCCAGGGCGCTTTCCCCTGGCTACCCAGTCTGCATACCAAAGCAGGGTGAACCATGAAGTCAAAGTCCATGAACGCAGGGGGTAGGTTTAAAAGAAACCGGCCTTGGTGTTTCGCCGGTGGAGGAGTGAAACCCCAGGGGTACTCAAAAAAGTTTATAGGGGGAGGTTCCGCTCCAAGGTCCAAGCCCTTACCCTTTTACGTACCATTTTTGACGTTACTGAAGTAGCGGGAATTACTTCTTTTGTAGCCTATGATCGAACTGCTCGAAGCTGGGCCGTACCTTAGCACCCGGAGCCTCTATCTCCACTGATTTCTTGAGTCAACCCTTTCCCTAATAGATTAGAATAGAACGGCTTGTTTCCCGCGAAAAGTGTCATATTTCCGCGAAACTATTTAATAATTATTCCTCGAGCCCGAATGGGCTCTGAGTCAATAGCCCAATGACTCAGTGGCTATAAGGGCGAGAGGAATAATTATGAAAAACAATCCAACTAGTTGGTCTAAAATATCGAGAATAAAATTTTTTTAGCTAATTAAAGCTAGACTTTAATCCTTTTTTGCCGCCAAACTGAGCCCGCGCTTTTCGCTACCAGTGTGCTATAACATATAGCCTAGTAGTAGCTCAACCAATCAGAACGCAGCATTGATAATAGACCACTAGTTGGATTTTACTAAAAGACTGTAGAATAGGACTGTCATTACGTCGTTGTGATTGGCTCTTTCCACTGTCGACATGCCAAGCCTCATCTGGGAACCGCTCTAATTATAAAAAATTATAAATTGTAAATGTACTCGGGAGTTGGAAGAGGTTGACTCCAAGAGCTTGTATGGGATCGGGAGATGTAGGCTTCGGGTCATAGGGTCCTGTAAGTGATGAGCATGATCCTCGGTTATCTATAAACAAAGAATATGACTTTTCATGGTAAGAACTTACCCTGTTCGTGGTAATCGTTTGTTGGCTTGTTATATATTGCGTTGCGGGAGTTTAAGCGTGTTTCGTCTTCGAACAGGGCTTGTTGCCAACCTCGTTAGGAGAGAGAACCTGGGAACGAGGTTGGGCTTGACAATTGCCAGAAACGTTACGATTTCAGGGGCTGTTCCCACTGGGCAAGTCCCGGGGGAGGGGGGACTCCCCTATATAAGCCATATAGGTAGGTATGTGCCGCTCTAAGGGTACGGGTTTGCGGCGTTTTTGTCCGAAAACCTCCGAAAACGGGTATAGACTTAACCTATTTTGGTCTGGAATCGGGTATGGTTTTCGATGGAACTACGGGAGTGTATGAACGTATTTATCATTTCAGCTCCACATTAGACTAAGGAAGAAAGAAAAATATGCAAATTCGGGTCTGAAAACGGGTATGGGTTTTAGAGGCCAGGTCTGAAAAAGGGTGTGAAAAAATTTGGAGAACCGGGCGGCACACCCCCAACAAGAATACTCAGGAGTACTCAATAATAAAGGATTAAATTAACTGCAAAAACCGTGGACGAAGATCCTGCTAGTTGTAAACGTTGGATCTCTAGAAAAGAGATCAAATCAGCCAAAATATAAAGAACCAAGAACGAGAAGTCCAAAGACTACTGCAAGTCTGATTTAAAACAACGTGTATTATTTTTTATAACAATATTTCGGCTGGCCATACCAGCCTTCTTCAGGTTTACAAATGATGCTGAACTTATGTAGCAATCACAATATTATATAGATGGAGAATGTCACAATAAAAGGGAGAGGCGGAAATGACGTACAACATAAAATCTGGAAAGGAAAAATACTAAGGATATGGATTAAAATAATTTGTCACGGCGGTTTAGGCCATGAGGTTCAAGAGTCATGGCCTTATCTATCAAATGCGACTCCCTGGCCTTACGAACTGAGTCACGAGAAGAATGAATTTTCTCTAGTGGGATTAACTGCATGTCAGTATGTCAGGAGTACCCGGCCCCGGGCAAGTTTTCTTGAAACTTGGGTCGCCAAGAAACTTGACAAGTAGCAAGAAACAGTCGCTCAGTGTGACAAGGCCTATATCAAAGCCAATTTTTTCTTTCTTTTTTGTGTCGCAACACGCAACAGTTTGGAACAAAAAGGTTAAGCAAATTATGCTAATTTTTGATCTCCATTCGCGGGAAATGATGAACCAATCAGATGTGGCGAACATAATCTCGAAAGCGTGGTGAAAAATTACCCAGCATACCTCCGCGTCTAGAAAGACGAGAAAGATGGCGTCAGCGTTAGGAACGTTTGGTTCTATTGGAACTGATGTCGGCCAATTTCAGTATCCGCATGGAATAGCTGTCAGCAGTGCTGGTGAAGTTGCTGTTGTAGATACTTGTAATCACCGTGTGCAAGTGTTTAGCGGCGATGGACACTTTCAGAGAGTGTTTGGAAGTCAAGGAGTGGACGACGTGGGTTGTTTGAATTTTCCTGATGGAGTAACCTACGATAAAGAAAACAACATCGTGTTGGCCGACTCGGATAATCACAGAATATCGGTTTACTCATCAGCCGGGGAATTTCTACGAAAGATCGGCGAACATCAAATGAAAAATCCTTGGGGCGTTTGTTTGACACACGATGGCAACATAGCGGTGTGCAGTGGCGGTGAGAAGAGCAGTGAAGTTCAAGTTTATTCTACCGAGGGGGCATTAGTCATGAAATTTGGCGATCCTTCCACGACCAACCGACCTTCGTACGTCGCTAGCAGTCACGAAAAGTACTTTGTGTCGTACAGTGACGATCAGTGCGTGAGAGTGTTCGACAATCAAGGACGCTTTCTATCTAAGATCGGTGCAGCAGGCTTCGGCGATGGGCAGTTTAACAGACCTCGTGGACTAGTAGTTGACCAACATGGACAGTTGCTGGTCTGTGATGGCTGGAATAACCGAATACAAGTTTTTGATTTGGAAGGCAAGTTTCTAACGAAGTTTGGAAGTCGTGGGCAAGGTCAAGGACAATTAACTTTCCCGGTCGACCTCTCAATCGCTCCTGATGGACGTCTTTTCGTGAGCGAACTGAAGGGACATCGTGTTCAGGTTTTTCAAGGATTAGAAAAGCAAAGTTAAAGAGTATAGCCGCACAAAATGCTAGGATTTCTGTCAAAGAATTGATCACAGACTTGCATAAACTGCTTTTGTCGTACGTTCATACACTGGTGGCATGAATTACAGTGAGTCCTTTATTTGGGTTTTTTAATTCAACAGTTATATTTCCAGGACGTTACATGTCGATAGTCGACTAAAATCGATCGTTGCCGATAAAAATCGATTTCTTGTGATTATTGATTTCTATCAAAATTGGTGTTATCATTGACCTTTATATGAAAACTCAGGCTATTGGTAGAAAAAAAGGTTCAGAAGCAACAGTTTCAGTATCCATTAGCAAATTATTAACATCTGTTCGAAAAGTTTTGGGCCACATTAAATCGGCGAAGGACACTTTAAAGTCTATTTGAGCTGTTGCAATATTCATTTGAACGGTTTTATATCGGTTCGTAACAAGTAGTGTCTTGAGCAGTTAAAGAACTCAGAAAAGTCTCTAAAGTCTATCGAAATTGATTGGCTGTACTGGGATCATTGTGATTATCAACTTTTATGGACAAACATAACTAATCAATTGACAATTATTGACAAATATGGAGCACTTTTTACTTATAATCTAGCTTTCTGATGATCGATCGATCAACATGTAACTTCCTGTATTTCTTGTTGGCTGTACAGTCAAATTTCTATGTAGAAGTGAGCCATTTCATTTCATCCCTACCCAAGAAATTTTCTCTCAAGGCTCAAAAGTAATTTCTAAATATTATTGTTGATTGGTAGCCACTTGATCTGAAAAAAAAAAAGTCCAAGCAAGCGAAAAATGAGTCTTCTGGAGGAAGTAGTGGTGGTACTTTTCATCTTCTGTTTGTTTTGTAGGAAAAAGGCAAATTACCATACCCATAGTAATGCAAATGGGGCGAGGGTATTATATTGAATGGTTAAGTCATACACCATCAAGTCCTGGAATTTCAAACTGCATAGTTAACACTTTTTCAGTTCTTGATCATTCGTAGTGTCTCATGAGACTACATAGAATGAGAAAGACTTACTTTAAAGGAACTTTCATCGGGAATGATAAATAAAGAAGTAGGGAACAATACCATTGTTTTTCAAAAATGATAACAATATGGTACTGGAAGTGGTTTTTACCGTAAAATTCTTGGGCATGCACCATTGTGTCTGTTATTACTGTTAAACTCTTGAAACCATAAACACCTAAAATATTTCAGTAATATTTACTTTGTTGTGACCAATTCCAACAAAGATCGGGACATGCGAGCAAGTCACAAAACTATTAATAGTTGCTGCTAAGTTTTTTCCTCGATTGATTTGCTTTCTTCTTGTAGCAGAATAACATTGGAGAAATAGTTCTGGTGTTCACAATTTTGGGAGTTTCACGGTGAAATAGTATGGTTTTATGTTAAATATTCTACACTACTACTGCTGTTTGTAGAGGAAGCTCTGGCTATATGTTTTAGTTTACTTTAATTCTACCTCTTTCAAAAAAGAATTGAGACTGAAATTGATTTTTCTTTAAAAATGTTTTTGTTACATTTGTCCTTCCATTGAGCTTAAGTTTTAAGTCTAAGTCTGCTAAGGTCATAGTAAATGTAAGTTGTCATAGTGATGATATTTTTTAAGGGAAGGCTGTGAAAGATTTTTCTGAATTTGCGTAGGATACTGCAAAACTATTCCTCGACAAATTGTCGTATTCTCCCAGTGTCTGTCATTACTATATAGGTAATATGGCATTCATTGTAGTCTCAGTAGGGTTTGGGCTACCTGTGCACAGTAGAATACTAAGAGGGTTGGGATTCATGTGTTCAGCATTAGGCATCTGTGGGCATGTTTGTTTTGCATCTTACAACCTTTTGTTATAATTATTATTATAGCATTATATCCCAGGTTTATTCAAAAGTGTATGTATCAACTAAACAGTATTATTTATCAGCATAGTAAGCTAGAGAAGTGATTTAGAATCTCATCTGTGTTATTAATAACAAGTCAAGTGAGTGTTTTTTTAATCTGGCAAGGAGAAGGATTATTTCTCTGTGCTCTGTTTGCTGAATGACAAATACTCTGTCACTTATAATTTTGCACTAAGAAGGGAAGGTGAAGATTAGCCTGAGAAAACAGCTGACATTATGTGATGCCATCACTGGTTACCCTGTGAAATGACATCTGAGAAACAAGCGCAAACATTCCATACTGATGAGGTGTCAAGACCAGATCAAGGTAGAGCTTTTGATTGGCTGTGCTGAATAGGAAATTTGCCTCAACTAATCAGAATCACTACCCAGGTTTGGGTAGTGATACATCATCAGTATGGAATTCTGCACGCAATTCTCAGATGTCATTTTTCAGGAAAACCAGTGGTTTCATCGAGAAATGATGGCTGTTTTCTTAAACAGGTCTAAATTTCAGAATTATGTAGATTAACAGTTACTCTAGTTTCATGACTATTGAAAAACGTCACACTTTTGTCCCTCAATAAAGTTGCAATTTGAAGTAATAACTTGATAGGTCAGTGTTACGCTTCTTTATCTATCATCATTCACCATGGAGCAGTTTAGAGCCAGCCATAATCCAAATTTATTGTAATAATTTTCTCTTGTTGCTTTTTTACTTTCAACATTAAACCAAAAGCTCAATTAAAACTGCACTCAGAGGAAAAGTAGTGTTGAAATACTTGCACTTAAGGTGGATTTCCACTGCCCCAAAATTTTTACAACCCGCATAAATTTAAAGCATGTAAATAAAATAGACCCAATGTATGGAAGGTCTCATCTAAGTGTGAAAGTTCAACCTTGTGGCATTTCATACATTGCCTCTATTACATGACAGTGGAAATCCACCCTAAGCATTATCTAGGAACACTAAAAGTGTTGGGCCAGTACATTGGTACAGGTTCAGTATTAGTATAGGTAATAGCATGATTTGTAGTGATATTTGGCATAAATACCATGCGTGATATTTCAAAATTGTTATACGTAATTTCACGAGCCGTTAGGCGAGTGAAATTTGAGACAATTTTGAAATATCACGAGTGGTATTTCTGCCAAATTTCACGTACAAATTGTGCTATTATTTGTTTATACTACTACCCGCAAAAGGTCTGTAATTTTCACATGTAGGTATTTCAAATTAAGCTGAAATACCACTGCTCTAAACCAATCAAATTGCAGAAATTTCTCATGTAGTAGTATAAGGTCCCAAACTTCATACATCTATATAGTTTGTTGATAGTTCTCAATTTTATACCTACTGAAGAGTCTGTGGGTTTTTTGTTGGTCACTTGTCTGTCTATTAGGGTTCAGTTGGAGAATATGGAGCCCAAGGACTCCGGTTAAGAGATTGACCTGCTTCAGTATGTCTTCTTAGCTTGGACACCAAAGACCATAAATGGTTGTACACTAATGTTTATCATGTGTGAGGAGTGTCAAAAATGATGGAAAATATGAACCAAATTACAGTTGAAATTGCGTTTTAATGCAAATATTTCAAGGAGGAAGCCTGTTAAGAATTACAAAAATATCCTTTCTGCCACACTTAACTGTAAACTTTTCCAATAATATCATACACTGAACTGGTAAAAAGAATTCTAAAAAGGTCAATGATTCCTTCCTCTGAAAATTAGCAAAAGCACCAACTGTATTTTACTCATAATTTATTGACGTGCCTTTTAAAAGCCCAACAATAGTCTGTGAAATATAAGAATCCCCCATCCCCTTACAAAGTTTTTTTTTTCATTTACTTTTTTTTCTTCATCCCTTGTACAGTCAACTCTTGCCTTGCGGACACCCAGCTATAATGGACACCCTAATAATAAGGACAGCAGCTAAATCACGGGCAAAAACAAATTACAGATGTTTGACTGAAATAAACTCCCGCTATTACGGACTCTCACTAAGAAGGACACTAACTCAAGGTCCCAACAGTGTCTGCTATAAAGGGAGTTGACTGTGCTCACAATGGCAACCTTGCTTGAAAAATGAATTGACACTGCAGGACTGTCTCTAAGGACTGATGCAAACCAGATACTAAAAGCCGAGGGGGGGTCTTGGTCTTGTCACGAGTTCACGAACAACAATTTTGCGTTTCATGAATCAAAATTATTGACTTTTGATCTTGGCCATGCATTGGGGTGATCTCTGCGTGGCTATAAATTCCCTAGGGAAGCCAGCTGGAGGTGGGTCTGAGTGCACTGAAGTGTGAAGTTACATCAAAAGACTTAAAGGTGAAGTTACCAGTAAATCAAGCCACCAGATGCTAGTTAAGGTCATCTAGCCAAATTAATGATTTATTTTCATCAATTGATCTTCAAAGCATGACCACTGGCTACTTTCATAGGAAATAAAAGTAAACTACATAGAGGCAAAGAACTTACTAGCCATTTAATTCCCTGCCTACTAATTGCATAATAATACCTAGTAGCTAGCAATCTTGTTGACGGCCGTGCTCTGAGGGACAGAAATTAATCCTTTAAATTAATACTTTATTAGGATGTGATAAGAGAAAAAATGGCACTACAACAAGGTTATAAAATAATGTTAAGCTCCCAGATGGATGGCGGTATCCACCAGACAAATTATTATTTCCATGGCCAGGGTGGAAAGCAGTTTTTTATCTGGCTCCAGTTGTTCAAAAAGTGGATAGCGCTATCCAATGGATAAATCACTATCCAGCGGATAATGCAATAATTGGTCTTCCTACTACTTATCAGCTGGATAGCAATTTATCTTGTGGATAGTGCTATCCAACTTTTGAACAACCAGGGCCAGTTGGAAGGCTTTTGAACAACTGGGGCCTGGCTTGGATGGAACTTTTTTTTCTGTGTCAGCACTTGCCAGCCAACACATCTTCAGATAAGAATATTGAAAGAAGTAAGACTTCACAGGCTTTGAAAAACTGTGTTTGTTGCTTGATCACTAGTTCCCTTTTACTTGGCGAACAGTCCGTCGGAACATGCTGGATCCTCGCCACAAGTTACCCTGGAATAGAGAAGATCATTATTTTTTACTATGAAGTCACTTGTAAATGTAAACTTGTTTCGAATCATAGTGTTTTTTCTTCCTTTCAAATAAAAAATAAAATTGTAAGATCTTGGTTAGCAATGACCATGCATTTACCTTAATTAACTGAGTAAAAGGCATGGTTTTTTTGAAGATGACATCTCAAAAAAAAACCATGCACATTGTGCAGTTTTACATAACTATTTTATACTTTGCAAGTATTATTCTTTAATTTTGAAATCACACATGTAATGCAGTCATAAGATAGATAGATAGATATTGACCTCGCACTTGTTCTTAGAAGGGAGGAATCTGTACAGCTTGTGCGAAGGATTACACAGGATGTAATTAAAAAGATTGTCACTTAAGAACTCACGGCACCTGTGTAAGGGGACTAGCCCAGTCATGGAAAGCGCCTCATCACATGAACAATATTATTGGATATGTGGTTATTCCACATAAGATCGCTAGATATCTGCAAACCTAAGATCTTAGCATACTCTTCACACTCAAAATCCTGACCATTACCGTTTTCCTGAGATGTTTAAAACAGTCTGTCCATCCAGAAAACACAGGCATTGCAGGGAGTTCACCTGCGGCAAGTCTAAACCATCAAAAAAGAACAATACCATTATCAGATCTGATACCACATGACTTATTGTTTTGATTTATCATTAATTCATTTCCCAAATATATATATCTCCTCCTTTTATACCAAGCATGGCTTGATTTCATGCTGTCATTACCAGCATGCCATGCTTAAAATTTTACCACCTCCAACATTTAATGAACTAGCTGGGGAAACAGGAAAAATAGGCTTATTAATTTTACTGTTCTTGCATTGTCAGTTTTCAGATATTTCTACATGAAAAGTAGGTAGTTCAAACTTGGCCAAGGAAAGTCCTGGGCCCTCAGCCCTTAACAACAGCCCTGGGTCAAACTTTTCTTTCAGCCATTTACCCACACTGTAAAACCTTTTACAGGAAATAATTATTGAAAACTTGACAGCTGCTCCCTTCTCAGTAAACTCCTTGAATGTGCAAATGTAGTTTTTACTATGGTTATCAACAATCAGTGACAAAATAACTTGAGACCCTTTGCCCTTTGCGCCTCTCTGACATTTTGCCAACTTCAAAAGGGGAAAACAAAGCCTTCCCTCCCCAATCCCCTCCATGTGATGTTGTGGCACTGTTCAATTTAGAAAACAACCATCACTCCAACTTTGAATGAAGGGGAGAGGGGAGGGGTGTGGATTATTTTGTTCTCCAAAGTTACCCCATATGAAGACAATGTGACCACTGTACTTAAATTTGGCCTCATGAAAATGTTAAGTGCATTGAAGGTTTAATATTGATTACAGCTGAACTCTATGGTCACACTTAAATAAAAATAAAGATAACAGCAAGACTAACCCAACATGGTTGACGATCATCATGTTTGACACCAGTGTAAATGGATATGTGACCACTCCGGCAACATACTTCAATTAAAAATTATCATTAGAGATTTAGGAAAACATGCATGTTTAACACAAAAAAGGAAAAATATATTAATACATTATTGGTTTTCACTGTATTGTTTTTGTGTTCATTCTCAAAAATATTATAGGTGAGGAAAAATTACCTTTATTCACTGGAAAATAATGGTCTACAGCTAATCTTGGCTTGTATTAATAATAATAATAATAATAATAATAATAAGAAGAAGATGATAAGACATTATTTTATATAGTGTCATTATCACTATTTGCTCATCTTACTTTACAATAAAACTATAATAAAAATTCAAAGGTTAAAATTTAGANTGAAATCACACATGTAATGCAGTCATAAGATAGATAGATAGATATTGACCTCGCACTTGTTCTTAGAAGGGAGGAATCTGTACAGCTTGTGCGAAGGATTACACAGGATGTAATTAAAAAGATTGTCACTTAAGAACTCATGGCACCTGTGTAAGGGGACTAGCCCAGTCATGGAAAGCGCCTCATCACACGAACAATATTATTGGATATGTGGTTATTCCACGTAAGATCGCTAGATATCTGCAAACCTAAGATCTTAGCATACTCTTCACACTCAAAATCCTGACCATTACCGTTTTCCTGAGATGTTTAAAACAGTCTGTCCATCCAGAAAACACAGGCATTGCAGGGAGTTCACCTGCGGCAAGTCTAAACCATCAAAAAAGAACAATACCATTATCAGATCTGATACCACATGACTTATTGTTTTGATTTATCATTAATTCATTTCCCAAATATATATATCTCCTCCTTTTATACCAAGCATGGCTTGATTTCATGCTGTCATTACCAGCATGCCATGCTTAAAATTTTACCACCTCCAACATTTAATGAACTAGCTGGGGAAACAGGAAAAATAGGCTTATTAATTTTACTGTTCTTGCATTGTCAGTTTTCAGATATTTCTACATGAAAAGTAGGTAGTTCAAACTTGGCCAAGGAAAGTCCTGGGCCCTCAGCCCTTAACAACAGCCCTGGGTCAAACTTTTCTTTCAGCCATTTACCCACACTGTAAAACCTTTTACAGGAAATAATTATTGAAAACTTGACAGCTGCTCCCTTCTCAGTAAACTCCTTGAATGTACAAATGTAGTTTTTACTATGGTTATCAACAATCAGTGACAAAATAACTTGAGACCCTTTGCCCTTTGCGCCTCTCTGACATTTTGCCAACTTCAAAAGGGGAAAACAAAGCCTTCCCTCCCCAATCCCCTCCATGTGATGTTGTGGCACTGTTCAATTTAGAAAACAACCATCACTCCAACTTTGAATGAAGGGGAGAGGGGAGGGGTGTGGATTATTTTGTTCTCCAAAGTTACCCCATATGAAGACAATGTGACCACTGTACTTAAATTTGGCCTCATGAAAATGTTAAGTGCATTGAAGGTTTAATATTGATTACAGCTGAACTCTATGGTCACACTTAAATAAAAATAAAGATAACAGCAAGACTAACCCAACATGGTTGACGATCATCATGTTTGACACCAGTGTAAATGGATATGTGACCACTCCGGCAACATACTTCAATTAAAAATTATCATTAGAGATTTAGGAAAACATGCATGTTTAACACAAAAAAGGAAAAATATATTAATACATTATTGGTTTTCACTGTATTGTTTTTGTGTTCATTCTCAAAAATATTATAGGTGAGGAAAAATTACCTTTATTCACTGGAAAATAATGGTCTACAGCTAATCTTGGCTTGTATTAATAATAATAATAATAATAATAATAATAAGAAGAAGATGATAAGACATTATTTTATATAGTGTCATTATCACTATTTGCTCATCTTACTTTACAATAAAACTATAATAAAAATTCAAAGGTTAAAATTTAGAGGAAATTAATTACAAGTTAAATGCCAATTTTTAAAAAGGTAGGTTTTAAAAAGATTCTTAAAAATGACAACCAAGTTGCTCATGCAATCTTAAATTTAATGGGAGATTTTTGCACAGTTTTGGGGCAGCTACAGCAAATATTAATATTTTTAATGTATTATTTAATTTTTGTCCCGGCCAAATAGACAGGAATTTTTAGGTCTTTTTAGAGGCTGCCCTGAGCTGACCTACCGTCTCATCACAATTGTCTTGAGTTCTCTGTTGAATGCATTTTTCTTTAGTTAATTCATTNAAATTAAGTGAGAAAAATACAAAAAAGGAGAGTATACTGACGAGTTAAGAGATGGGTGCCAATACCATAAAAAAATGAGGCTTTATGAGGGGGGGGGGGGGGGGGGGTATGTGCGGCCCTTGTCTGAATTTTATGTTCAGACATTTCACGTATTGAATAGGAGGCCATGTTGCTGTCATTATTTTACTATTGTATTAATTTTGTGATTTTCCCTGACGCTGTCCCAGTCAACCCATCTTCATGTTGTTTGTCGCCATTCCATCTGTCTTATGTCGCTGTTTCAAGGCCATGTTGCTTGTCAGAATTTAACCCTAAAAGGGCCTTATTAGAAAAAAGTGAAGAACAGCTTCCCAAAAAACTGTTGGCCAGCTGTCTGCCAACTGTCGTTTACTGTCTTATGTGAAATTTTTCTGCCAACTGTCTGTAATGGGTTAGACTGAGTTAGACTAGTACAGTCGACTCCCGTTAACTCGAACCCTCTATAACTCGAACCTCCCGCTAACTCGAAGCAATTTTCATTTCCCTTCAGATCATTTTCTATATAATTTTACCCTCGATAACTCAAACTCCCAATAACTCAAACTGTTTTCTATTTCCCTTGAAGGTTCGAGTTATCGGGATTCGACTGTATAGTTATTTTAGATCAAGAGGGTGTTTTTGACAAGACCAGTTAGTCACCAAAATTCCCTGACTGGAATGAGATGGGTGGTAGTTGGTGATGGGGGTTCTGGAGAGGGGTGGGGGTCGGAGATAGGTCGGGTGAGAGTCCAATGATGGCACATCCAACACATAACTTTTGCCTGTGAAATTGGGATTCTTTCTGCTCTATTGAATGTCATAAAAAAACCATGAAGAGTTCTCAAACTGACAGTCAAGGGTAGTCATAAGGCAGGCTTACATTTCCAACATTCAGATCAGTTGTTTTTTATTATAAGTCCATACCTCACTGTCAATAGCGTACTTGCTAACCAAGAAGCATGCTCCACGAAATAACAACAAGGAAAGGATCTCTCCAATGAGACGAGGAATGATACCACTTTAAAGAGGAAGAGTGGATGAAGAAAAGGTTGTTGTCACTAAACAAGCATAAACTACCAGTATTTTTAAAAAATAAGCTAACTACTGAAGGTGCTGTGATTCATGAGTAAAAACATTGTTTTAGGCACTTGATTAAAAAACAAAAAAGATTTAAACAAAGATTGACAAAGACTTAAGGCCTTTTCTCCCTCTTTGAACTTTCTTCTTGTGTAAAACTAACTTTGTGAACCCTATCCACTACACAGAGAAACTATTTTAGATGTAAGTTGACCGGTGAACAAGATGATTTAGGGAACCATGTGACACAATGCTGTTGATCAGTGTAATGAGTTGGAAGGCAATAACAAAAATTGAAAAAATAATATTATATACCTATGTGCAATTCTTAAGTACCCTTTTACACCCAGATGAAGTAATGGCTTGATTACTTGTTACTCTAAGACTTAAATCTGTGGACAGAATTCTATGGGTTTACCATTCAAATGAAACCTCTCTCCTCAAAACTTTTGCTTAGTGCTAGGGTACTTATTTCTGAGGATTTTACAAAAAGAAATTAGATTTTTTCAGAAAGAGATGAATAATATATTGAGACATAGTTCTTACCTAAAGAATCCAGCAATGCCTTCATTGTTGTAAATTTCTCTAATAGAGGTACGCAGACCACTGAAAATAAGAATGTAATGGACAACAGTTATTTTGGGGAGTGCTCTAACATTTAGTACTCTATCAATAATTTCAGTTTTTAGCATTTCATAAAACATTTATCATTTGCCATCAAACTAAGAAAACTAAAAATGCCAAAATTATTTCTGGAATGTTATGTCAACAGGATAGACCCAATCATTATTCCACACAGTCTCTTGAAATGTCAGTCACTGTCAACAACAGTCCTATTCAGGCCTATCTTCACCTGGATAATTATGCTTAACCCGCTTATAAACTTTAAGCAGCAATGGTAAATAGGTTGTTGTTTGTAGTTTGCCTTCATGTCCTGATCACTTATTTGATTGGTCATGACACAACAATATAAATAGAGGATATTACCCGGTGGCCCAAAGATATGAATTTTATTTTCGAGTGGCAAAACAATATTTTACTAACGAGTGCAGTGAGTGAGCAAAATATTGTTTTTGCCACAAGAAAATAAAATTCATATCTTCAAGCCACCGGGTAATATTTTTTTTATTAGATAGACAAAATGATATCAATAAATATTAATAATAGAGGGAAATTACCAAAATTACATCATCGATAAACTCATGTGTGAGATTATGGAAAATAAACCACTCAGGTCCTGGATGTAGTTTTTATGAATTTTATGAGTGGTATATTTTTCAGTAAAACACTCGTGTCTATATAATAATATCATATAATTCATTGCACAATACTGTAACTATGAAATATCGGTCAGTGTCCTAAGAGTACATAATGGCTGGATGTTGAATTGACCATGAAATGGAGGTTTGGTTTTTTCTGAGCAAAATATAAAATTTTTTTATGTAAAAACTGATTCAAAACAGCTGACCTATAAATTGTCTCCTTTCCAACAAACTGGACCATCATCCGAACGGAGATAACTGAAAGTAAAAAACACAGATAATATTGAAAGGTACCTTGTAAAGTTTTGGATTAAAAGAGAGCCATGAGTTCTGAAGTTAAAACAAAGAGACTTACCATAAAATGGATGACTGATTATGAGAGCACTGCTTTTTGCTACTACCTGCATACAAGTCTGAAAAATGCAAATGCAAAAAATAAGTTGCTACTGACAAGAAAAATAAACATTTAGGTCTTTCCCTTAATTGTGGTGCTTTTTTCTGGTAAAATCATTTTACCAGAAAAAAGCACCACCAAACTAAAGTAAATAATTGACACCAAGATAGATGTTACAGGTAAAAATTAAATTTAACTTTTTTAAACCTCAATTGATTATATCAATTTCCTTTGTCCCCTAGTCCTAACTCAATAATAGTTAGGGCTAGGAGACAAAGGAAATTGAGAATCAAACTAGGGTTTCAAATTATAAATGTGGCTAAATGTAATTTAGGCAAAGTTAAATTGCAAGCGGTCTCCTCCTCCAGCGTACATGACCTGAGGGGTGACCGCAGGCGCCTTTTGCTTATCTTGTGACTTACGTTGCATCTCACACTGGCATTTTTGAGCTGATCTTTGTGGATCTGTTGCTTAGTGAATCGTTGTGGATTCTGTTTAAATATTTTAACCTGAATCTAATTTTGACATGCAACATAGCCATGAGTTGAATAATTTACTGGTACAAGGCACGGCGCTGGCAAGACTATCACTAAGATTTCAAGTTGCCAGGTATTGCAATTAGGGTTCATACTCTTTTCAGCTCTACAAATTCCATGACTTTTTTCATGACCTTTTTGAGTTTTCCATGACCTTAAGTTTAGCTGTCAGTTTCAAAAATTTTAAAAACTTTCCTTGTTTTAGGGTATTTTTTGACCTTAACAGTTTAACAGACATAAACTCTGGTGTCAACCAAAATGCATGTTGTGTGTACTGTTTAATAATTAAACAGTACACACGACATGCATTACTCCTCTTTATCTTCCATTGTCCTTGCCTTGTTATCTGCGGTAACTAACTTTACCAAACAAAACTTTAATTTTCCATGACTTTCAAGGACCAACATTTAAATTTCATGACTTTCCAGTCCTGGAAAATGAATTTCTTACATTCCATGGCTTTCCAGGTTTCCATGACCTGTACAAACTCTGAGCAATTTATTCATTACGTAGGGAATTGAACAGTTAGGAATTTCATTTGATTCTGTTTACATTTTGTTTCCCATGAAAGTAACTAGCTCGGGGAAATCCCCAAATTGTGATCTTCAGTCTTACATGACAGCCCTGCCTGAGACATGAAATTTTAACGCAACTGTATGCATCACTTTCCACTAAGCATACTCTCAAACCCACTATACGCCTTTCTGATACCCAGGGGCAAGAGCAGGGGACTCAAGTACAACTAAAGGGATGCTTAATAATATCAGTACCAAGGACTTGTTACATACATGTAGGGGTTCGTTTTATCAAGGTTCCAATGTACTCAATAATGCAATCACAATATTTTAAACATTTTCACTGGAAACTTTTATCAAAAAATTGCCAGAATAAGGGGATAAAGAGTTTTGATGCAGATGACTCACCTCTTGAGCAAACTCTTTTAACTCTTCCTGTTTGGTCTAAAAATTGAAGAAACAAAGAAACAAAAAGTATGTCACAAGAAAAACGCTCAAGTATTATCGTTATGAAGAGGTGGGGTGGTTTAAGAGAGGCCTCAATAAAATTTATTTCTCAAAAACTCCCTGACGATGATGAGTTTTTTGCCAAAACAATTTCCCTAGAGTTGGTTTATAAAGTACAGTACTGGTTTATACAGGGTTCCCAATAGAAGCCAGCACCTGGCAATTGATCATCGCCTACTGTGGAACTTGTAGCCACTTACTTTGCATTCTATTTGCTGCTTTTCCCTTCCTAGTTTTTGGCCCCAGTCCGTGACAGACGACCACTTAAGGCGGGACAGACACCTACTTCAAATCCTAAATTGAGAACTCTGGTTTCCATCCTTACTGCTGCATGGTATTTTAAAGTTAGTTTTCAAGACCCATAGTAGAAAGTAACGGACAAAAGGTTTAACAATATTTTTTAATGTACTTGTGAACCCTATATGCATACTGTGCAATAAAAAATAATTAATGCTGATGTCAGTCAGCTTTAAGAAGACTGCTCTCACTCTGACCCATGATGTGGCACCCAAATGTAAAAGGATTGAAATTGAGCCTGAACAAAGTCAACCCCAAATAATCTGATTGTTAGACCATGCCCCTAAAACATTCTGTTTCTCTTCCTCTCCCCTCCGCAGAGACCTCTGTGTTTTTCGTAGAGAGCCTGGAGACAGGGAGAAAAGAATACCAAACGGGAGCCTCTGTGGAGGAGAGAGTCTCTCTTTTGTGACCAAACTTTCAAAATCGAAAAAGTCCTTTGGCTCTATCCGCACTGGGGCCAGAAAAAACAATAGTTGAGAGTATCCCCCCTGAATTTTTCAATGAATTAAACTATAACTTGAGTTGACTTGAGTGGCAGAGTACTAAGAACACTCCCACAAAATTAATGATATTTAAAAATCGAATTGACAAATCTTACCTTAAAGTAAATACCTTAACTATAAAAGTAATTACCAAGGTGTTGACCATTAAAAAGGAAACAAACCTTGTTTTCTCGATTTACAATGGGAACGAGTGTGTTGCCTTTCGTAGATATGGCCTGGTGAGCACAAACAATAACAGTAATAATACAAAAATAAATTACGCTTTGCAAAAAAGGGTTGTTACTTGAAAAAAAAAAATAAACAGCTGTGAACAAGGTTTGCAAACTACTATTGTCAACATTTTACAGCGGGTTGAACCGTGACACAATATTTTCTCATGTCTGTGTATGTATACCTGCCAACTCTCATGAATTATGGGTGAGTCTCATGCCTGCAGACAAAAGACATAGATCTTAGACATCAAGGACAATTCCTCCCACCTGACTCACAAGTCTGGACAAACATTGTTCTCACATGATTAATAACAAAAATTCATTTCAATTTCCACGAAAATATTCCAAAAAGGCGAGGAATGATGACTTTGTGTTCTAATGAAATCAAAACACACTAACATTGTTGTTTTTAAAGAGCTTTGGAAGTGCTAAGAGGTTGTAGGAACATCTTCGAACATTTTCAGCAACGTTTGGAAGTCCTCAGAAAATCATTGGAAGTTGCTGGAACGTTTTCTGAAATCCCGGTCATGACAAGGAGAAAATCTCACGCATTTGACTCCGAAAAAGTTGGCAGGTATATATATGTGACAAGGCCAAAGTAGTCAAGACACCTTACTGCATATATATCTTTAGGCATAAAGCAGTCTGTTTTGGGTCTAGAAGATTTTGAACCCAGAAATGAAATTCAGTGGAAAGTAAAACATGAAACATTATTTTTTAGGGTTTTAGACCAGTTTAAGGGTAAAACTACTAGTCACTCTAACTTTTAAATCCGTGTAAGTAAGTAAGTAAGTATGGTGTTACAAATCAAATGAAACCACTTTGGCAGAACAATCTGCAGACTGCTATTCATTTCTTAATATTTAACACGACGAAATCTGATTCTTTTGATTTCTTAGCTTTGATTTTCCCAGGCCACTGTAACTAGTTTAACCCCCCTATACAATGAGCATTTCAATGATGCACACCTTGAGTTGGTGCCTGTTATGTTTCAGTCATTTTTTTTTTACTGACTCTACATGAAGGTAGATATATGTAACTCTATGATGCAAATGATGTTGTCACCAGGGGAGTTGACCATCTTCCTGGGTGCTTTCGTACCTGTAAAACAGTATGGTTTACAAGAGTTCCAATCATAGATGAGTAAACTCTTGGCAGTAATCCTCGGTACAATCCACTCCATCCATCCAACTTCTTGATGTGATTTGCTATTATAATATAAATCAAAACAACTAATAAAAATAAAATATAAACCAGTTGTTAGTCTGCATGAATGCAGTACAGTGGAAGCTCTTCTAGGAGACACACTTGTAAGTGGACAGCTATACTTACAAAACCCCATTTCAACTCCCATGAAAACTACGTATTGTTACATATTTCCCGTAAGGGGCCACAGACACTCTTGGGGTATACGAGTCTGATTTTGGCTTTTAATCTCCCATAAGCGACACCCAAAATGAAATCTCAGTCTCCTTTGAATCTAGTATTTTAATATTCAAAATTCAAATTGCCCTTCTTCACGATGAATTCACATCAGTTTCAATGTACTAACATTTCACATATACACAAGTAGTTTCACTTCAAAGAACCACTTGAATATTATGCCTGTGTCTAAATTTCAACATTGTCAGAACAAAAGTAACCTGAGTACCAGGCCAAGCAGGGGCAGAAATAGGGGGAGGGTGCAGGGGATACACACATCCCCCCCCCCCCCTGGAGATGATCTGCGGCTTTCCAATACAACTGGTATTCTGCAAAATATGCAGATATGCATGCTGTGTATTCTCAGCAAGTTAACATTATGTTATTGCCTAATCAAAAGCCTTCTTCGTATTCACTTTTAAAAGTTGTTTAAGTCACCAGTCAGTTCCAAGAAAAATTCTGGATCCGCCCCTGACAAGAAAGCCTGATACTCAGGTTAGAAAAAAAGTATAGCCAAACACTAACAAAAAAGTTTTTGCAATCCCAATTTTTATTTGTAGCTGACCAAGCTCCTCTAAGTGGCCATCTAACCCTTACACCTCAAATGGCTACAAAGGACCAGAAAACCAAACTTGTAAGTGGCCAGCTGCATTTACGGAGAACTTTTTCACGTTCTGAGGGTGTCTGCTTACCAGAGCTTCTACTGTATTCAATATAATTTCAGTCAAGCGGAGAAAGGCAATGCACATCGTCTTACCAATTTTTGTGTGCCCTTCAACCCCCCTCCACTCCCCCCCCCCCCCCCCCCTCCCACCCAACCCACTTATTTTTGCACCCCCTCCCCCCCTGCACCTCACACCCGCAACAAACCTCCCCCACTCACCACTCCTCAAACCACCCTTTCCCATCTTCCGCCCCTACACAATCCATAACACATACGATATTTCAACAATCTCATTCATTCACATAGTTTATTCCAAGGGCTTTTCTGTAATTCATATAAATTCCGTCCAACGGGGAAAGGGAAATCCCCTCCTCTTACCCATTTTTTTGTGGCCCTTCACCCCCCCCCCCCCCCCCCCCCCCTCCCACTTCTACACCAAGTCTATTGGTTTGGTAACCCTACTCCAGTAGGCATTTGATACCTGAACCATAACTCATTAGCAGGATGTCTCAAAAGACTCTTTGCAGTCTTGCACAACTTACCATACTGAAAGAAACTTGGTAATCTTAGCACTTTTGTTCCTAAAAATGTTCTTGATGGAGCTGGGGGAATTGGCTCATGACCAACCTTGAATTGAAACACAAAGAAAGGAAATGGGAAGCTTCCTTAAAACTGTGATCCTCCCATCTAACCCTCTAACATTGACATACAGCTAATCACAAACTCAGCACATTGTTTTAGCCTATTTTATGAGGCAAAAGAAGATTTAAGGAATAGAGGGTGAATGTTATCGGGGTACTTTAGTATTTTTGGGATGGGGATCTAGACTCAAACGCAGCTGAAATTGATTGATGCATATGTTTTCACTTTGTGCACCAAAAATCTGCATAGTAAATAGCCCATCACAATTGCTCAACCAAAAATAAACGTTATCAGAATTTCAAAGGTCACATACGAGGACTTCATGTCTCTTTGACTTTAACTCAGCATTTCCAAATTGCAAGCCGGTACATTGAAGTGAATGAAGATAAAGCGAAAGCACTATTGAACATTCCTCATAGAACATAGAAAACTACCTGCATCAACAGTCTAACACATGTAAGCGGTTGCGTTGCTGTTGTCATCAACGCAGTAAGAACCAGAGCTCCAGCCGGTGTGCCCTCGTTTTCTAGGAAGTCTTCCAAGCCTTGATTCTCGTTTGCGGCCGCCATGTTGGACCAGATCGTCTACGCGAAAGTGAGGCTTCACTTCACGTATTTGTCAATATTTCCACTGTCGAGGGTGGCATAGAAAAATTTGTAACTGTAGTTTGATTGTGGGATGAGTATTCTTAACTAAACCGTTTGTCTTGTTTGGATTCGCCGAAATGTTAATTACATAAATTTCATCGACTTTGGGATTTCAAATGCGTTTTTTAGACTTTTGACACCAATTGTGCCAATTCACCCCACCCTACAGAGTACTAACGTTGTCAAAGCAAGATGGCGGCTCAAGTGAAGCAAATGCTGAATTCTCTGTCCAATGCCGGTGGTTCACACAAGGATATAACGGGGAAATATCGAGAGATTCTAGAGAAGATTTTTAAATTCAATGATGCGTCTCTCACAGAAGGCCTCAAAACTTTCATTGAAGCCGGTAAGTGTATATTTTTTTTATGCAAAGTCTCCTTGCCTCAGTTTTGGAGTCCTTTAGCCTTTATTTTAAATTATCCGTCACGTTTGTGCTGCGAAGCTGTCAAGCCACCTTAGCTTGTTCTGTAATCTAGTAATACGGCACAATTTATGTTTCACTAAATTCGGTGCTTCGAAATTCTTACTATCAATCCTCTTTTTAGTCTCAAAGAAAAACCCCCTTAGAGAATTATAATACAAGAATTTCACAAGTTTACTACTTTTAATACACTGTTACAGAAGTCCAAACATATAAAATATGGGTGTATTCTGTAAATGCCCCAAAATATGGGATTTGGAAAAAAAAAAAAAGCTGTTTTTTTTTTTAAATAAACTTGTGTGAAAAATTTCAAACCACAGCTAGAATTAAACTTAAACACATTTATATTAATTTTTTTCTACTTACAGTGGAACCTCGATAGAATGAAGTGCCAACAGACTGGCAAAATGTGTTCACTATAACAAGGTTTCGTTATATCGAGGTCCTTTTCCATATATTTTACCATTACTGGGGGTAAAGAAATGGTTTACCAAGGACTTGGCAGGGGTTTCAATAAGCACTGACGGCCGACAAAACGCATCGGCTAATAAAGAAATATTCTGTCAAAACTTTTGTTAAAATTCAATTCGCTGGACCTAGACAGACTTTTTGCTTCATATTTAAAATATTTAAGAAAAGTTTGGAACTTACTGTGCATTACTTGTCCAAATTGATCGAAAATACACTCTCTTTTGTACTCAATTTAGTGCCCTGAACACTGGAAATCGCATTTTAGGGCATCGAAATCTCGAGATTTTCAAGTAGTACAGACCCCCAGACGCCTCTAGAAGAAGGGGAGTAAAAGCCTCTTTTTGATACAATTGGTTACTTTTTTCAAACCTGCTGGCTACTTCAATTTCTATTGAAAACCCGACTTCATTATATGGAGGTTTGTTATACCGAGGTTCCACTGTGATATAGCTCATTGTAAACAACCTCTATATTCCAGTTGTTCATGAGAGCGTCAGCCTTGTTGTATCAAGACAAGTCTTAACAGAGATTTGCAATCACATTCCAAACATGGATTCATCTATCGCCAAGCAAATATCACACTTCATACTTGACAAATTACAACCCAGAGCCATCTCCTTTGAGGAACAGGTGAGTTATTGACGGCTTTTGACCCAGAGGAATAACTCTCCATTGTAGCACAAATGTCAACATTGTTTTCGTTGTGTGTTTCCTATCAAATCATTGATTTTTCAACATAATAAATTGTTGCATATCAAGAACAGGGGTGTAACCATCCCATAAACCTGTAGGCCCGGGCCTACAAAAGTTTTGGTTTGATCACTCTGCCACTTGTTCATTGTTGGGGTGAGCTAAAAAGCTTAAGAGGTGAAAGTGTTGGTCAGGTCAGTGAGTACTAGTCATGCATGCAATTTTCAGGATATGTGGAAATGAAAGTCATACGCCCCTGAAGAATAAATTGTTTTGCGTGGTAATGCTACTAGCAAGCTTGAGCAACCATGACAATGCTAAAGCAATTAAGTTTAATAAACAAACAAAACCTCTGAACATGCATCACATTTTTGGTAAATTTCTTTGCATCATTGCATGACTAACATTATCAAACTTGATCAGAATGGCAATTTGATCATTGCTTTAATCTACTAGATCTTCTTTTCATCAATAGCAGTTGTTGTGAATTTGATTTCAATGAAAATACCGATACAAAAGTCTCAGTGGAACTATTAAAATTAATACTCTACTTATCATCTCAATAGTGTCATTAATCACACAATACCACCACTACCCTGTGCACCACTGGGGCCAGCTCATTTGTCTGTTGTTTTTTTTTGCAATGTTTGTAATAGGTTGCAACAATTAGAAAACATCTCGCTAAAATATATGAAGAATGCCAAGAATGGAGAGAAGCAGCAAGAGTATTGACTGGGATTCCTCTGGAGACTGGGCAAAGGTGCTGTGAATCAAAATAAAATTTCATCTTCTGATATTAAAATAGTGAAAAAATAACATTAAAATGTAAAAACATTAAAGTAATTAATAATAATAATAATAATTTATTATAAGCATAATTGATAATTTTATAATTTCATGTTTATGGTAAAGAAGTTTCATTTGAATTGTCTTTTTTTATTTATCAAACCTTATTTGATAAAGAGACCATCTTAGGGTAAAATTTTGACAAGCAACGTGGCTTTGAAACAGTGACATAAAATGGCTGAAATGGTGATAAGCAACATAAAGATGTTTTGAAACTGCAACAGTGACAGACACAAGAAAAAATGCAAGAGTAAATTACCAGCAAGAACATGGCTTTCTCCTCACTACTCGCAATTATGGGTTTTAAAATTCAGATGAGGAGCATACTTACCCCTACTTCAAAGGTGTCATTTTAACTTTTGCTAAGGTTCCTAAAAGGTGTAAATGAATGTAGGGACTCTCATACTGTCAAGCTCATTTGATGCTTACTTTTAAAGGCAAGGGTTTTTCTTACCTACCGTTTGTTAACAAGAAAGAAGGAGGACTTTAATCAAAATGGAAGAATAATTTGATGGCTATTTTAAGCAGAATATTATTCTTAACAATAATAACATAGAATGTTTTCTCAAACATCAAATCTTAGGCAGTATTCAGTGGATTATAAGATGGAAACTTACTTAAAAATTGCACAGCTGTACTTAGAAGATGAAGATCCTGTACAAGCTGAAGCTTACATAAACAGAGCATCTCTGCTTCAAACCGACACGAAGACCGAAAAACTGCAGATTCTTTACAAGGTACATGCTGACAGTAGTAACTATAAACAGTGCATCAGAGTGGCTAGATAACAAATAGATAACATGTTTCTATTGTCTTGCAGTTATACTTGTAAATTACGTCAAGATGAGATCGAATGTTGGCTGCGTATTCTTGCTAATTTGTAGTCTTATTAATGTTTCTACCTTTATAGACTAGCCATTTCTATAATAATTTCTAAGAGACTGTTTACAATGCAGTGTTGCTCTTTTTTTTTACAATAACATCAAAAGATTCTAGCATCAATTCATTTCCAGCAAAGTTTTTTTAGAAAATCACATGCAAGAGACAGATAAAAAATTGAGACAGAGGGAGAGTTCATTTGTGACACAAGTCCTGCTTACCACTAAGATTAGCGATGTCAAGATTGCATGGTGATAACTAAAGAAAGAAGGTGAATTCAGTCCTGTTGGACCTAGCCTGAAATTCATCCGATTGCTTCGAGTCATTTTCTCCTCTTACTGAGGGAGTAATAACGACTCGAAGTAATCGGATGAAATTCAGGCTATGTTGGACCTAGACTTCTTCTACTATGTCCCAAACAAGTAGGTGATAAAGAGAATTGGGAAACTGTGTCCTTTAAACAAGCGTAAAATTACCATTTCTATATCACCCTATAAATTTAATGTGCAAACATTATTATTTTTATTTCACAGGTATGCTATGCTCGTGTCTTGGACTACAGGCGTAAATTCATTGAAGCAGCACAGCGTTATATTGACCTGTCATACAGAACTGCAATACATGATGAAGAGAGAATGACAGCACTAAAGCATGCTCTGATCTGTACTATGCTTGCTTCAGCAGGTGTGCCAGCTGCTCTTGTAAAATGATACCCTAGGCTAGTAAGGCCCAGTTCAAACATTGAACTTTTCATGTAGAGCTAAACCTAATCCTTTCAATTAACTGCATGAAAAGATCAACACTTGAATCAGTTAAGTCCAACATATCTAATTTGGGTCAACCCATGAATTAAGTTTGAGTGACCTGCATGAGAATTGTGACTGCAGAGCAGCTTCCTTTGAAACGTCAAACTTTTCATGTGCCAAACCTGATGCCTAAATTACTGGTAAGCATTGTAGACCGTTGTACATAGAGTACTAAAGTGATGACGTCATAAAAATGAAATTTCTGAAATTATGGGATTTGTCAGGATGTTTTGAAAGAACAATGACCAAGAGGCCTAATTGCCAAAAATGAGCATTTCGCGGCTAATTGTCTCTGAGATCGTAGCCCAGTTATACTCAGAAAACTCCATACAAACCCTTCTAATTTTTTTTTGGGTTGACCCAAAAAAAATTTAGAAGGGTTCGTATGGAGTTTTGTAAGCATAACTGGGCTACGATCTCAGAGACAATTTGCCCCCAAATGCTCATTTTTGGCAAGTAGGCCTCTTGGACATTGCTCTTTCAGAATATCCTGACAAATCCCATAATTTCAGAAATTTCATTTTTATGACGTCACACTTTAGTACTCTATCGAGAAAATGTATTGAGTATTGTAAATTCTGTAAAAACGGATTTTTTAATACTTTCTTCCGCCTTTCACATACATTCTATTTTGAAACTCACCCCAGTCCTCTCTCAAAAATTAGAGAAAATGCGTTTGGTGCGCACTTTCTGCAGCTCTACCGCAAAAACGAGTACGGTGACCCCCATTTTTTATTTCATGATTTTAATAAGGACAGTGCTTCAACTCGCCCCAGTCCTCTCTCAAAAATCGGAGAAAATGCGTTTGGTGCGCACTTTCTGCAGCTCTACCGCAAAAACGAGTACGGTGACCCCCATTTTTTATTTCATGATTTTAATAAGGACAGTGCTTCCTATCGATGAGAAAAAAATTGGCACAACTCTATGTTCAGTTTTTTGGCAATTTTACTAAATTGTACGGATTTAGCCATCACAGGTCGAAACGCGCGTGTCCAATTTAATTCTACTTTGGAGCGTAAAGTAAAAGCAAGGGCATTAAAAGGCATTTTTCCTGTACGTAAGTGGATAAACAATACATTTAAGTCAAATTCTGTGTGATGCCACATGCATCATCGAAAAAATCTCTCTTTTTTGTCTAGTTTTGGGCTGTCCGCGGTTTTTGTAAAAGGGTCCTAAATAGCCGTATTTGTCAGCATTGTGACATCAAAATGAGCACGGTGACCACCACTTTTTATTACTTTTTTATCATCTTCTTGACTTGTTACATCAGTGCACCAAGTTTTAGCTACAATCTATGTTAGGTTCTTTTACTATGGAATCACCTTAAAACGTTACTTTAGGAGAAGTGTGGCCAAGTTGTCAGTCCCTTGGACTCAATAAGAAGTTCCAGGTTTTGTGTTGTGCTTTGCCAACCCACAGCTGGCTTTGTTTCTTGGAAGTCCCAGGTTCAACTCTCTTGTCACATGTGTGAATGGCCAACAGTCTTCTCCTGCAAATTGGGATTTCTAAGGAAAAATTGGTCCAGTTTGCCATGTTCTCCTTTAAGTGGTAGGGTGTCAAAATTTGAGTACATGTACTGTAGGTGGGGAAGGTTGGAAAGTTGGCTGTTCTATGTTTCATTTGTAGGCAGGTACTGTGCACAGAGTACCTTGGTGTCAGTACCCAGTCCTGGCTACTAATGAAACTCTTCAGTTCCTAAATCATGTAGAAGCATGTTGGCCTATAGTCTCTGGCCAAGGGTGAGGAGCATGGCCGTGCAATAACATTTGTTTTCTTATAAAAGAAAGTTTGCTCCATTATCTCTCTCTTAGGTACTAACTTGAATACTGCAGGGGGGACCCTGAAATGCACTAACATCCCATCCGGTAGTAGCGACCAGAATTTTATTTCCTCATCCCTATACTTTAGGATGTGGATAGTTTCACAACAATATATATGTAAAGTGAAATGTGCATGCTTTAATGATTCTATATTATCAGGCCAACAGAGATCAAGGATGTTAGCCAACTTGTTCAAAGATGAACGCTGTCAACAGCTCCCTGCCTATGGGATTTTAGAAAAAATGTGAGTTGTGCCTGTTTTACTTTTATACTCATCAGTTATTAAAAAAAAAATTCTGATTCGATAACGCAGGCTTTCTCAGTATTGCCTGAACACTTACATGTAGGTGCTTTCATGGCACTGATACTAGAAAAAACTCCTGAAAATCGTTTTCTTTAGGTATTTGGACAGAATAATTCGGGGACCAGAGCTTCACGAATTTGCCAACATGTTGATGCCACACCAGAAAGCAACTACGGCAGACGGTAAGATTTTTAACTTTGTATAACGGTGTTTCATCTGGTTACTAAATCGTTAGCTAAGGCAAGCAAGCAATGGCTCCAGGCAAGCAAAATGTAAGAGATTCTTGTCAAAAGGTAAAGGTGGAATTCGAGCCCTGTTTACTAGTTGCTTCTTGTTAAACTATGATGTGATTTTTTTGTGATATTTCTCCTCAAAGGTGTGTTGTTGTCTTTGTTTTAAGGTTCAACAATCCTTGACAGAGCGGTGATTGAGCATAACTTGCTGTCTGCTAGTAAACTTTATAACAATATCACTTTTGAAGAACTTGGAGCTTTATTAGAAATCCCACCTCCCAAGGTAAGTTTTACTTGGTCTCTATCCATGACAGTGAATCAAATGTTATCACGTTAGTTACCAGTCATCACATTAGTAGCCTGCGAGCAAGCTCTCCGGGGCTTTCTGGCGGCGGGGGTGGGAAAAGGAAGGAGAGCATGTAACTACATCTCTTCCCCTGTAGCTCCCCGTTGACTGAGCTGTCAGATTTCCACCCATCAGTGCGAAGCGGAAATGAATGTGAAAAGACATTAAAAAAAACACGTGCCAAGGGTAATGATATCATTAGTAATGTCGTCTTCGCCAATCAGTATTTCGCATTGACTTTTTCAATGCTGATATTCAAATTCCAGAGACCTAGTTCCAAGCTCTCTTTCTTTTTCCTGCCCTGCTGCCAGAGCACCCCCAAGAGCTTGCTTGCATGCTACCATGTTAGTTATTAGTCTCCCATGGGAGAAGACCCGAGGGAGACCACAAAAGTCCAACACATCATAATTATAAAGTCACTGCGAAGCTATTTGGCAGCATGCAAAGAAAGTCTTATCCGATAGCCCCGGGTTAGTGGATTTTACTATCGGGCCAGTGAATTCTGCTCTTAGCTTGCCCGCCTGGCAATTGAAATTTTTTAAGGAATTCTAATCACAAAAGAACTGTTATCAACCCTGCTCATCATCAGGCTAGTTAAAATGACTTTTGGGCTAGTACATTCTAACTACAGCTTGCCCGAATGGCAAGTTGTAAAACTGACTTTCTTTGCTTTTCTTTGCACCCCGTTTGGTGAAAAAAAATCGTTCAAAATCCTGAGCCTTATTTCATCAATGGTTAAACATGCGTGGTGGAATTAGCATGCGATCAGGCAATTATGTTTTTTTTTCCTTTCAACTTCAACTTTATTTATTAAAAATAGTATTACAATAGACTGGCCCACAAAATAGCAATTGCTAATCTAGGCAGACCAGTTAAAAGAAAATTTTAATGAAAGGAAAGAAGGGAAATATTTTAAGTTACAATAATTTGTATTTCTACCTTAGTTTTGTTTTAATTACCACTGCATCTAAGGAAAAACGAAAAAGGAATTGATGGATTGCGGAAAGCATATAATTTTATACAGAAATTACTTTGAGAGACATAGAAATATAGGGTGGGCATGATAAGTGATTGCATCTTAAAATTTGGTCTTCTTTTCCAACTTTTTTTTAACCACTTTTAGATAACTGTTCAATAAGAACAGAAAAAAACTAATTGATAATTAATTCTAGTTGATTTAGTGAGGTGACAATAATTCAAATAATGGAGAACTGTTCCATATTCTTACGTCAAAGAGTATATGTTTAAATAAAAAAATGTTGGTGGAACCAAACATTTTAATTTTTGATTAAAGTCGTTTGAAAAGTTTTTGAAGTCGTTTTCAAAGTCCCGATAATTGCAGAATCTGTAGTCAAAACTCAGAGAATTTTTCATTGCAGAATAAATTCGAATTCGAAGTTTCTGAAGATCGCGGTATTTTTAATGATTTTGCCTATGTTTGCTTTTAACTAGCTTTAAGCTAAAAGTTGGCAAAGAAAAAGTCTCGCTTGTTGACAAAACCTTGGCCTCATAACATCTGAACAAATATGGTAAATCACGCCTGCAAATTTATAGTGACGCCAAAACTTGAAAAAAGTCGAGTCACTGTTTTTCAAGTTTGCCTGAATACAATCCATGTTGATATTCTTCTGTTTGGTCCATCTGCGCCTCTTGATAGTTTTTTTTCTGTATTTCTTTTTTGTTCTCCGCCAGTTTCAAGCTGATATTTTACTATTTAAACCCCGAAAATGACCAACATCTATTTTCTCCTACAATGTCAATACATAAACAAGAGGAAAGGTTATGAGAATATATCAAAGGGACATTTACAGGAAAAACTGGCGTTGATCTTTAATCAAATTCTATCAACTTCTTCAAGTATGGGGATCAGTGTGGAGAATTTTTTTGTGGTCATTGGGAAGGACAAAAAATGGAACGTTCCTAGGTGTCTTTCTAACGATGGATTTCCACTGTCGTGCCATTTTTACGTGCGTACGTACGTTAATTTTACGCGCGTAAATAAAATAGAGCCAATGTTGGGCCAATATATGAAAGGCCGCGCGTAAACGTTAGGTTAAACGAGCTTCAACTTTTACGCTGTAGGTGGACTTCCACTTTCGCCTAACTTTTTAGTGCGTACGCGCGCAAAATTTACGTGCGGAAATAAACTAGAGGCGATGTATGAAAGGCCGCGCGTAAAACGTTAAGTTAAACGAACTTCAACTTTTACGCATCATTTTCAAAGTCCCCATAATTGCAGAATCTGTGGACAAAACTGCAATAATTTTTAATCGCAGAATAAATTCGAATTCGAATTCAAAGTTTCTGAAAGATCGCGTTTTTTAATGATTTTGCTTATGTTTGCTTATTAGTAGCTTTAAGCTAGAAATTGGCAAAGAAAAAGTCTCGCTTGTTGACAAAACCTTGGCCTCATAACATCTGAATAAATATGGTAAATCAAGCCTGCAAACTAATTGTGACGCCAAAACTTCAGAAAAGTCGAGTCACTGTTTTTCAAGTTTACCTGAATACAATCTATGTTGATATTCCTCTGTTTGGTCCATCTATGCCTCTTGATAGTTTTTTTTCTGTATTTCTCTTTTGTTCTCCTCCAGTTTAAAGCTGATATTTTAATATTTAGCCCTTTAAACCCCAAAAATGACCAACATCTATTTTCTCATACAAAGTCAATACATAAACAAGAGAAAAGGTTATGAGAATACATCAAAGGGATCTTTACAGGAAAAACTGGCGTTGACCTTTAATCAAATTCTATCAACTTCTTCTCTATGTTTGGAGATCAGTCTGAATTAAGACTTTCTTTGTGGTCATTGGGAAGGACAAAAAATGGATCGTTCCTAGGTGTCTGTCTTTAGGTGGATTTCCACTGTCGTGTCATTTTTACGCGCATACGTGCGTGAAATTTACGTTCGCAAATAAAATAGAGATAATACATGAAAGGTAGCTCGCAAGCGTAAAAGTTGAACCTCGCTGAACTTCTTGTTTAAGCTCAGCACTTTTTATCTTGCCTCTATCTTATTTTCTTGATTAAAATTTACGTGCGTTAACGCGCGTAGCCAAAAACGCGTCAGTGGAAATCTATCTTTAAGGTGGATTTCCACTGTCGTGTTATTTTTACGCGTGTAAATAAAATAGAGCCAATGTTGAGCCAATGTATGGAAGGTTGCGCGTAAATGTTAAGTTAAACGAGCTTCAACTTTTACGCTTTAGGTGGACTTCCACTTTCGCCTAACTTTTAAGTGCGTTCGCGCTTAAAATTCACGTGCGGAAATAAAATAGAGGCGATGTATGAAAGGCCGCGCGTACACGTAATTCTATACATTGCCTGCATTTTATTTACGTGCGTACGCGCGTAAAAATTACACGACAGTGGAAATCCACCCTTGGAGAGAGTTGACCGTCAGGGTCCTTGAAAAATCCAATTGATGCCTCTATAAGATTGACACTCCCCAAAATCGGTAGACTACGAGCAGTCTCTCTTTTTTCTTGGTCCGTCGAGCAAAACGCTCGAGACACGCAAATGACCACGCGCGTCTCGCGCCTTCGCGGCTCAACGCTCGCGCGCGCGTGCACTTCCCTTACTAAATCTGAAGAAAAAGAGAGACTGCTCGCAGTCTACAAAATCGGAGACCGAGAGCTATCCTTTACCTTTCTTGAATCCTTTTCCCAAGGCGGACACTTGCCCAACCTAGTTTACCCTGAGTTGATTGTCTTTGAAGAATCCAAAGGACACCTTTTCATTGATAATAAACTGAATAGAAACTGCGTTCTAGCGCATAGAAACAAAGCAGAATTGTTTCTGGTCGTCCATCTGTATGACAGAACAAAAATACTGAGAACTTTAAGTATAACGTGAAAGGCCTGCTAAAGAAGTCTTATTTTAATGGTAACACCATAGGTTATTGTCAATTGAATGGAATCATAAGTTAGATGTGTGTCACAAGTCTCCTAGACTGTTCACAGTCCTCTATTTTTCCGTAAAATCATCGAGATCGAGCGCTTTGTGTTACGGGCTGCCATCTTGCATGAGTGTCAAAACTACTTAGGGGGAGGAGGCGGTTTGGGAGCTATAATCCCCGACGCCCGCCCCCTCGGTACATTGGAAAATCTAGATACCCTTGACGGTAAGACGCGGTATATCTAAACGATCTCACGAAAAAATAGGGGACTGTGAACATTCTACAAGTCTCCAATACCTTGAATGAAACTGGTAGTTGTGCCTCGCAATATATTTTGACATTCACTAAATTTTATCTAATTAGACATCTAAGAAGAAATTCACGTTTGGAAAAGATACTGAAATATTGTTTTAGTGTTTTTGTTTTACCACAAAACAGAATATTATCCCCATGTCATTGCCAATGGATAGCTAACATCCATGTATTGGTGTTGCAATATACAAATGTTGGACTGTTTGGCCTCCTATGTTAACGTAAACCTCTTTACCAGTGTATCGTAATGAGGGATTTTTGCATAAAGTTACTGTGCAAAAGTAGCAAAAGCTAGTCGAGGAGAAGATTATTAATGAATAAATAAGCTAAAATGGTTTTATCACAACACTAGGCTACTGTTTTTTTGTAAAAGAGGAAGAAAAGAAGAAGAGAAATAGAAGTGGTTACGGTGCAAACTCAGGTGCTATTATATCAATGTCAAGGTGATATTTCGTTTTCGATCAAACATTTCGGTACAGCGCAAAGATATCGGTGCGTTTATCCGGTTACCTAACTGTTTACGATGAAAAATAACAAGAGTTAGATAAGAAACACAACTAAGTATGTTCACGTTCAAAGCCAGATCCTAGCAAAACAACAGTTTAAAATCCTGAAGAAAATAAAATCTTCGAAGCATGAGTTGTGAGCTGTTTGTGATAAACCTAAGCGTTTGCGAATCATGAAACCTTTCAAAAATTTGTACGTCAAATATTATTGAGGAAGTTCAATGCCGCGGCGTCTTTGAACCTACCGCGAAATTAGGCAAATGTTTTGTGTCCAACAGCTGTATTGGATCTTATGGGCTGTATATCCAACGCCAGCTGTATTTGAAGGTTTACGTTCTTCACGTTATTTTCCTGTTGATTCGCCCTTGGTTAAGGATTCATACTATTTTCTACGAATATTTACGAATAAATAAAAACGCACGCACAAGAATGATCTGGTGGGCTCTGTGTCATTTGAAAAAATGTATTCTTTTCATATTTTAACTCGGAAAGTGAGTGATGGAGTTCTGTAAGTTAATTCTAACTTTTGAGTCCGTGGATAAATTTCTGTTGTGTGACCATTCAAATGAAATCTTTTCAACAGTACTTTCACATAGTGCTGTTTGTTTTTGCGCTTTTTCGAAACGAATTTTTGACTTAGGCCACCCCTGGTAGTGAAAGGGTAAAATCTTTCTCCCCGCTCCTTTTTTTTTCGTTTTTTCTCGTGTTCTGTTTCTTTCCTGGACGGCTCTGATGAACCCCTAAAAGAGTTCTAGACTAGGGCGGCTCCAGGAGAAAACATTTAATGTTCCATTTGTTGTGTAGCATCTACCTGACTGCTACCACTAGAAAAGCTGAAAGATCCCTACATGTATACGTTCAGGATTTTTGCCCGTGTATTTAGAGATTATTATAACCGTTTCACTCTCAGAGCAATGATACAATCGGAAATGGAACTTCCTGAAACCTCCAGTCAAATCTCTAAGGAGGTTGCATGGCCGAGTGATCTCGTTATCTGGCGGCCCTGCGTCCGAGGCCCCCTCCGACGCTCCGATCTGTGACTAGCTGGATTAGTTTCTCGGTCGTCATGAATTCATGTACGAGTAAATAGCCAACCGGTTTGCCTCCTACCAGTGGGGATTTTTAATGCTGTGTAGCGGTGCACTTTCACCATAAACAAACATATACGTTTTATCTTTATTTACTTTATTTCTTCTTGTGCATATGAATGTTATAACGTTTAACGTTTTCACAATAACGTCCCGGTTTTATTCGCTAAGCCTTATGTAACTTGGTGATACGAGTGTTTGAACGAAGCAAACTGCCGAAAGCTCCACGCAGAGCGATGCAAATAACGGATGGTCTGAATGTATGCTTCAGCAGCCTATAAAATAGCCAAGCTCATCGATTATGACGAGTGCAATCCAGTGCGATATTTTCTCTTTCAGGCCGAGAGAATCGCTTCACAGATGATTTCCGAGGGACGCATGTCAGGCTCCATTGATCAGATTGACGGAGTTGTACATTTTGAAAGTAAGTCAAAGCGTTCTTCTCAGAGAATTTCACCTGTGTTAACATTGCGTAGTCTCCTTCGCGGCTGTTTCATGGGTCTCACGCAATGCTCCTCCCCGCAAATTAGGGAGGAGCGTTGCGTGACGACCCTACAAACAGTTACGAAGGAGACCATACATTGGTCTGCAGATCATAAAATTCTTCTTGAAAACATTTTAAATTGTACTTAAACCATAAATAAGGACGTCAAAGGTTAGAATTTCACCCTTTTAAAATCATTCAGGACTAGGAGAAGAAAAGCCTGTTTTCCACAAGATCTAGCGTTCCAGGCCAGGCCGCGTGTATCCCCTATCGGGTTGCGGAAACATTGTTATTCATCGGATATGTCAGAACCGGGCGCACAATTCTGTTTTCACATAAGCATCCTCGCGATTTGCGAAAAGATTTAATTCTGGAAAGGATTTTGTTGTTATGATGTTCACAAAACTGGCTTTTTCCGATCAGATAGCCTGAGAAAATAGCCGACATTTCGCGACGTCATCCGGCATTGGTTTCCCCGCGAAATGAAGTCTGAGAAACGAGTGCAGAAATTCCGCATTGATGACTTGGCTCCGCCCAAATCTGTATCGGTCGGCTGTATTCTCAGGCTACATATCAGAGTCCACCCCTAGTCCCATTTTGAAAATGAGGGTAGACGGGAAAACCGGAATTGGTCCATTGCAGCTCGATCCTGAATGGTAGACGAAGAACCACAGATCTGCATCAGGCCTCGCTTTGACAAAGAGCGGTTCGAAAAATGGCTTTTCGTTTGGGTATTCCGCATTCGAGGAAGTATGAGGGGAATGGGCATTAGCTTTCGGCGAAACGCCTTCTGGGATCGTTTGGGCAGACAAGCGTTATTTATGATTGGTTAATGGTTGCCTTGGATACCATCGACCAATCATAACTAATTGAGTTTCTAAAGTGGGAATTGTTTCTAGGGAGACCAACAAGGGTTAACCCTTTCACTTTCTGAGTGAATGAAGTCTTGTAAGGTGTGGTTCTAACTTTTGAGTCTTTGGACGAAACCGTATGGTTTGCGGACGATTCAAATGAAACCGGTCTGGCAGTACTTTTACGTGGTGTTATTTGTTTTTCACCATTGCACAAAATTAAATGTCGAATTTTTGTCGTATTTCGAGTTTGACTATTTCTCCAAGTGAAAGGGTAAACTCAATGCAATTCCCCCGTATAATCCATACCCAGCGCTTTATTTCTGGGGTTTCCGCAGCTCAAGAAGTGTTGCCTTCATGGGACAGACAGGTCCAAAACTTGTGCTTCCAAGTCAACAATGTCATCGAGAAGATTAACGTTCACGCACCGGATTGGGCTGAAAAGTACCTAGAATCACAAATGTCTACTTAAAAACAACTGATCGGACTTATTCGCGGTATACGTGAAAGCAACGAGGAGGTTACTGAAGGCTTTGACGCGATGAGACACCATCTCCTCCTGACAGAATTGCGACTAGGAGACATTAGTCCGGATCGTGTCATTAAAATTAGAGACCTTTTGATTCGAGGGCGAGAATGACTAACTTGTACGAGATTTGACTTTCACTTTTTTTGCGCATTCTAAAAATAGTCTCCCCAGAAAGCTTCATTTTACTATTTTTCTCTGTAAAGGTTATCACTGTCATCTTAAGTGAAGGAGGTTATGTCCTCTCCTAATCGCAAAATGATAAAACTTCTAACATTTGATAACTCGTTTCCGCCACTACAACAAAAACTAGTAGTAGACTGACGACGACTATCATGTTTTCCCGCCAATATGACGCTGGTTCACCCGCGTGAACTACTTTAAAGTGCGCTACTTTCACTGAGAAAATCTCCTACTCGTTGTCTTCCTCGTCTTAGATTAAAAACTAAAGGTCGCTAATAACAGCTGTGACGAAGACCATAAAGATTGTCATAGAAAGGATATTCAGGACTTGTTTTGTTAATAAACGGTAATTTTGCTACGAGCGGCGGCTGAAGTGATAGTCTGTTATCAATCTCATTCAGAATTGTTTTCATTAACACACATTGCCTTCAAGTGTCAACAGTCACTAATTAAAAATCCAATCGCTTGGCCATTGTTTTTGAGTTCACAAAAGTTATATTTTAAATCTGCAAGAGTTTATAAAATGTTTTGGTTTAACATTGTAATCTTCATCTTCGAACAGAGGCTTTTTCGCTCGTTCAAAGCCACTCATGCGCGAACTAAGATAAAGATTGATATGATTTTGCCATGCATGGATAAAAATTCCATTTTTATCAATCTTTTTATAGAAATGTTTCTTAATTTGGCGTTTGGACTTGACGAAAACAGGAACTAATGCAAACCAAAAGTTTCTAATGGGTTCAGGGAGTATGGGACAAAAACTGCGGGATTCTATGGTAAATTTTTAATGTTCACTCTGATCCTTACTGATAATATCTTTTTGCTTTTGACTTCCTTTTCATGGCCATGTATTTGTTTTAAAAAATTACCCCTTTTTGAAATTTGAATTTTAGACGATTCGTTGGGTTTTGTTGTTATTGTTCGGTTGTTTTTGTTTTTTCTTTTTGTTGCTGTTGTCTTAAAACGTGATCAAGAGGTCGAGGCAACTGAAATGGAAGCATCGCCGATGTGATGTCACTGTGTGATCGACTGAAGCGTTTACAATCTTCTACATAGACCTGAAGTCAACTTTCAACTCTTGACATGGACAAGGTAGAGAAAATCCGCGGTCGACTCCACCGGAAAGAGCGCCTATGATTCTTTAAAACTGTGCCAAGTTTAAAAGTTATTTGTTGAAAAATAACGGAGATATAGCCCCTCAAAGTTCCGAAATTTTACGACATTTGTATGGTGGGGGGACACACCATACAAATGTCTTTGAATGTTCGCAACTTTGCGGAATCTTCGCTCGCTTAAGACTATCACTTTCAATCTGGTAAGTTTACCAATTTTAAGGCGCTCTTTCCAGTGGTGCCGACGGATTTTCTCTAGTGCTTCATGTCAAAAGCTGAGAAAGCTGTGGAATGGTCTATCAGGGAAGACGATAGTGAAGATTTACTACGGCAAAGACAACGCAACGACGCAACGTCAAATGGAAACGCGAAAGCGCGCAGAACGGCGATTAAAGGCGACTTCCGTGCTCAATTATCTGCTCTGTCTGGCCAATTTGGTGTTTTAAGAGCCGGTCACTGTAAATTCTCCTATTGTTGATCTCTGTTTACTTCATCAATAGCAAAGAAAGCTCCTCGTTTCTTAGCGGTTTTTACTCTGACTGAAAAAAAAATAGAGAGAAGCCACAGAAACGTAAAAACATAAACAAATCCGTTTAAAACAACTTGTCTTTTACAGATCCATCGCAATCCTTTCTCGGTGGAAAGGATTCTGTAATTAATTCGAGTTGTTTAATTTCGAGGGGAGGAATTTTAGCAGACCGCCAACTCTCACGTTTTTTTTACCTTTTCTCACGGCCTCGCGACGAGACTCCCAGTCTCACATTTTTTTTTTCATTTTGAACTGAAATGTCACCTTGTTGAATAAAATCGGAAATTTCGTGGGGAATGCTAGTGTCTGTTTAACTGCCTTGATGCACCGGCTTGCTGTAAGTTTCGTCCCTAATGACCTCTTCCCTGGCCTATCTTGAGTCATCAAAGAAAAAGTGGCGTCTTGTTACTACGAAAGGACTACAAATGAATCAAAGTAATGTTTAAATAAACAGTTAATTCCCCCAATGGAAAGAAGGTTTGTTTAATCTTGCTCTGGGAAAAAAAATAGAATCTCACTACTTTTTGTAGAATCTCCAGATGTGTTTTTTTTTTTTTTTTCGAATCTGCAGATTTTCCTCTATCGGGGGTTGGCAGGTTTGATTTTAGGTAACTAATACAAATACTACCATCGAATTCACTTCAGATCTCATTTTATTAGTCGTAAAAAGAAAGACATGATTTTGAAATGCCTTTAGATCGCTTGGACAAATGTCTTGAGGGTTGCAGTAAAACAAGAGAATTTGCGGAAACGTTGGCATTTTCGTTGTTCAAAAATGCGACATTTGAGTGTTTAATACTTGCGGGTCGAGGGTCGCGCGTGAATTGACGCGGGTTGCGGATGGAATAATAATTATTTAAATTCAAACTTGATACTTTGCCCGTCAATATCTTTTACTTGAAGAGTTGTAAGTACTTCAGCGGAGACGCCGCCACAGTTTTTGAGGGCGCGTCTAGGGCTTTCGGAAATTGGCAAATATGAGGACTGCCAAGTAAAAAAACAAAACCCAGACGTTTCCGTGTAACGCTTCACCAGGGATGGCTCGTAAGTTCTCTATCCTTGTCCAGCAGGTTGGCTTGCTATATAGCCCTGGGCTTATTTTTCAAATTAAGCCAAAGTTGACAAACAGAAAATGCAAGTCATCTTAGTTTTGCAAATAGCTGGGCTACAAAGATAGCGAATGAATTGCCAAGGGGAAGGTTTGCGTTTTAAAACAAAATACTCATATCCAGCACGCACAAACAATATACATGTATAACCCTATATTGGTTAATTTCTTCTTTTCTGACTGTCTCTGACTTTTAATGTGGTTTTACATTTCTAGGCTTATAGCCATCGAACAATTTAATTTGCAGTTTTTATTAACTGACATTTTCCCTAGCATTGTGCAAAGAGTTAAGTACTGCGTCGAATTTCCTCTTTTAAATTGTTTACATTCGATCCGAAACGATTGAAAGTACTCCGACTGAAAAACTGGGGTGGCTTGAAAGTCGAGCGGAGACTGGTATTATGTTCTTAAACCACCTGCCCCATCCCCTACTGGTTTGTTTTTGTCAAATGATCGCGTGAGAGCTTTGGTATACCGCTGTGCGTGGGAAGGCGCCTTTCTCCAATACTTAGTCTGGTTACGGGTGACGAGAGCGAAGAAAAGTTCGTCACTAAAATTAGCAACAAATTAGCTCCTTCTTATGCAAAACCCCCGAAGTGTTTTGAACTTGGTTTACTGCAAGGAACGTACCAGACGTCTTCAATGAACAATGACTGGGATCCTCTGAGAAATTTCAGTCTCTTCGATCGGCAAGACCTTGAACTTGACACGTATATTTTAATTAAAATATTGGTGGTCTGCTTGTGTCTCCTGAGGGGCTTCAGCGCTACAGTTCTCCAAATTGTTTTGCTTTGTTTTTACTAGCGTTCTCCGTAGTCCCTCCTCAGTTTCACTCCAAGCAATTTGAGAACTATAAAACTCCTCAAATATTCATCACCCATTTTATTGTTTCCTCTTTGATTGGCCGTCACACATGAACTGTGTTCTTTATTTAACTTTGCTATTCAGCTTTTTCAGCACGCGGTCACTTTCGTTTTCCTCAGACTTTCTCTAGATCCTTCCACCTTGTAACCAAGCCCACTGCCTCAGTCTTTTTCGACTGTGTTTATTTTGTTTCAGAAACGATAAGCTCTTTTCATCATACGTCAGTGTTGATTTACAACTACAAACGGTGTCATATGTTATCCTATGTCTACGTAAGATGAGAGCTGACTGACTCATTCACTCAAGAGAAGCTTCGATAATTTCATTTTGATCAAAATGACTTCCGCCAAGTCGCAGCTCGATCGGGGTCATTTCATCTCATTTAAAACAGACATAGAAATGTTTTGTCATATGCCAAGATTGTTCAACTAAATGTTTAAACAAGACACACAAGAAAAGTTGAAGTTTCATTAAACCTTTTTTTGCCCCCTGGCACGAACAGGTCGCGTGTTTGACAGAAATGCGGGTGGTTGATCGATTCTAAGAATAACTCAAGGTCACGCTATTTAAGTCAGGCGATTCTTAGGTTTCACGTTAATTTATCCTCTCTCCAGTCTGTCATACGAGTACTTTCGCAAATTCACCGTCTTCGGTTGAAATATTATCGCCGAATCGCGTGAGGATTGATGTGGAGAAGTGTGTCTTCGTGCCGTAAGCGAAAAATGCAGGAAAAACGACTCGACATTCACGGTCATCGGAAAGCAAAACTTCCAGGCTGGTAAGAATGCACTTTTTAGAATATATCAAGGGTATGATCAGGCTTAGACCGTATCGCTCGGCCAAAAAATTACATCGACTTCTGACGTAGAGTAGTAAAAGAAGCTCCACTTTTTTTGATACTTTTAGGTGGGCTTTTATAATAGACGATAGAGTCGTCGTATTGTGACAATATTTTCCCTCAAATCTTCCTTTATCAGGCAGCTTCGTCCATGATTGTGCTTACAGACAAGGCCTGTTAACTAGAGATTATGTTGGTCATATGAAATGGGAAATTAATTGAAACAAAGACTACAAAAAACGCGGCGAGCTAATTTTTACTTTTAAAATATTCTGCTTTCCTGATGTTGTTAAATCGTAGGAAGAGATTAACTGCAAACTCATATTTGTTGTGGATTTTCTGTAAGCGTTTTATACAGTAAAATAGTGTTGTTTATCGCGGAAAATTTCGCAAGTGAATTTAAGACAACCAAGAATTTCATGGTTGACGATCAGAACATAATTGCTAACTTCGTATGTTTTCAAAAGCCATTGAGCTGAAAAAAAAGGAAGAAAAATAAACGCCGTGATTGGCGGAATTGTACTTCAAAGAGAAAGCAAAAATAAGCCGACATGAATTTTCTTTGTTTTCATATGGAACGAGAGTGGCCCTGGAAACTAGTTATTTCAGCTGCGAGTAT